ATAGCATCAGAAGCTGGACTATAAAGAATGCAGCATCAAGATTGGAGGGAGACTTCAGCAACAGCCTGCTTTATGCAATTGCCACCGCCTTTTTTGCCAGTTAGATCTCAGTGTCAAGAAAACAAAAATCATTGCCCTGGACCTATAGGCAACATCACGGTAGGTGGAGAAGAGATTAAGGCTGTCAGTGACTTCACCTTACTTGGCTCCACAACCAATACGCTTGGTACTGGCAGTCCGCGATCAGGAGATGTACTGCACTGGGGAGGTCTGGAGTCCGCCTTTGCCCTCCACATTACTGAGGAGCAGTGATGTCAGTTTGCTGACTAAGGATGACAGAAGAACTGATTCCTTTGAACTGTGGTGTTAGAGTGCTGAATATCCCACAGGCCCCAAAAGAACAAACAGGTAAGGCTTGGCGAAGGTGCAGCCAGAGTGCTCCTTAGAGGCAAAGACGATGAAGCTTCATCCCACATGTGTTGGGCGTGTTGCTAGGAGAAGCTGTTTCTTGGAGAGAGAGGGACATAGTGCTTGGAAAAGTGGAGGGGTGGCGACGGAGAGCAAGACCCTCAGTCCAGGGGTTGACAAAGCCCCTGCAGCCATGGGCTGCAATGTGTCAGAGACTGAGAAGGTGGGCGGGATAAAATCTGTCGTTCACAGGGTCACTGTGAGTCCTACTCGATGGCTGCAGCACAACAAAGATCATCAGAGACCACAGCCTTCAACATGGGTTGCATATCAACATCAAGAAAACAAATCCTCTTCGCTAGACAGTAGGCCTCATCATGATAGAAAAGACTGAACTAGCCAACCGTTGCATTTTTCTTGGGTCTACAATCAACAGTCATGTTAGCAACAGTCAGGAAATCAAGACGGGCTCTCTTTGGAAAATCTGTCAAGGACCTCTCCGGAGTTCTCAAGAGCAAGGATGCAATTTTAAAGACTTAGGTGCATGTGATTTTAGTCTTTTGCTTCCTATGCATCAGAAAGTTGGATAGTGAAAAAGGAAGACTGACAGTCCGTGCTTTTGAATTGAGGTGTTGGAGACGAGTATGGACTCTCCCATGGACTGCCAGAACACATACCTGCATCTGAGGACCTTCAGCCGGGACGGTCCTTAGAGGCAAGGAAGATGAGCACTTTGCGTTCACACACTTTGGGTATGTGGGGGGCAGGGAGGAATGCATTCTCTGTAAAAAAGGCTTCAGACTCGGAAAGACAGGGACTTCGTGGGGAAGAAGGAAGACTCACTTCTTACTGTGAGTGTAGTGATTTCAGAAGCAACTGAACACCAAACAGTGGCGTTCATTTGCCACATCAGTGACCTTTCATATTGTAAGACAGATAATGCTGTCTTCTAATTTTACCTAGGTTAAAGGTCTTTTTTTGATATCTTTTGAACATATGGGAAATGAAAATATTTTCATAGAAAAAAATAGGGATCATTAAATCTTTATAGGATTCTTCACAAATCCTTAAATATTTAACATGTACAGAGGAGGAAGGCATTCCAGGAGACATCAGTTCTTACTGTTGTGTGTGATTGAGTCACCCATGACTCATAGCAACCCTGTGCACAACAGCTCGCCCTATCCTGAGCCAATCTGTCTCCGGCACACCTACTACCCCCAATACCCCAGGTACGGTGTCAGTCCATCTCATCCGGGGTCTTCCTCTCCTACACCATCCCTCCACCCTTCCAAGCACGATGGCCCTTAGGGACTGGTCCCTCCTGGCAACATTGCTAGAGTATGTTAGATGGAGCTTCAAAATCCTTGCCTCCAGGGAGCAACTTGGTTTCACACTCCAGGACAGACCTATTTGTTCTCTTGGCAGTCCTTAGTATATTCAGTCCTCTTTTTCAGCACCACAGCTGAAAAGCATTGTTTCATCTTGGGTTATCCTTAGTCATTGTCCAGTTCTATGATGCATAGCAAGTAATTGTGAATATCATGGCGCACCTTAGTCTCTAGACTCACACTTGCTCTTCAGCACTCTGGAGAGGTCCCCGGCAGCAGATTTTCCTAATGAAATATCTTTTGATTTCCTAACTGCTAGTGCCAAGAGTGTTGATTGTGGATCTGAGCAAGCTGAAATTAGTAATAATCTCAGTCTCTTCCCTTAACTGTTAAAATTAAGACCAGTAGTTGTTGGGCAAAAAGTTAATTAAAGCTATATTTAATTAAGGTTTCTAAAGTACCCCTAGATAGTTTTCACTAAATATGTAAGTGTGCGTTCACGCTCTTCTCATGTGATGGGGAAGCAGGTCCTGGGTTTGAGTTAGCTTTGCACACTGGAATTACCGTTGTGCTGCTTGCATAAACCACCTTCACTGTACATCATCTATCTGTAGCTTGTTTTGCTTTAAAGAGAAATGCCAGAAATAATCACAAACTTGTTTTAAGTTTAGAATTTTGGGAGTAGATTTTTTCTTTCAACTTTCCCCTTCTCTTAAAGTTGTTCAAACTCTGTGTGACAGCGTGTATGTTTAGACTCCTAGTCCTTGGGGTTTGTTACGTTTTATAGCTTATATAACTGAGGGAGCTGTGGCAGCCTCTAGTGGTACGGCGTTGGGCTGCAGAGGAAGATGGGAATTCTCCTTGGTGTGATGGAGCCTCTGAGAACCGGCTGAGGAGCAGACTGCTGGTAGAGTTCTGACTAGACAGCACGGAACATCCTATAACCATAATCGGAGACACAGCTGCTGTGGACTGGCTACAAAGAAACAAGACTAACGTCTGTAGCAAACCCGGCCACCCAGAAAAGGCGCTGTGTGTACCACCAGCCACATTAATGGGACAGCGCTGTGTCGTCTGCGAGGGCAGGTGGAGGACTCGGGGTCTGTAACCGGCCACGTTAACCAGGGCACATGAGGGACTTGGGGTCTGTAACCGGCCACGTTAACCAGGGGACAGCACTGCATTGTCTGCGAGGGCAGGTGGAGGACTTGGGTCTGTGAGATAGTGGTGCAACTTACTGTGTTCATCTCAGCATCTCAACTCTAATGTTCTTTATTAGAATAAATCTTACTGCTGAAGAAAATGTTCATTCACTGGTGAGTTTAAGGAACAATCAGATTTTTAAAACGTTCATACTTCTGCTTTAAAATTCTGCATAGCAACAGTACTCACACATCAGGTAAGGAAAATTGAGCTTTTGTTTTTAATGAACTCTAGTATTGAAAGAACACTTAGACTATATTTTGGGGGTGTTTCCTCAAACTCTCACAGTTACTTAAATAGGCATTTTCTAAGGATTCTCACCACTGGGCCAATTGGCAGCATCAGTATGGATGGTGAAGAGATTGAAATAGTTAACAGTTCTGGTTTGCTTGGCTCCACAATCAACACTCTTGGTAACAGCAGCCAGGAAATCAGGAGACAAATTGCATTGGGAAAGTCAGCTGTGAGGAACCCCTCAAGAGTGCTGAAGAGCAACGATGTCAGGCTGAAGACTAAGGTGTGCCTGATCTGGGCTATACTCTTCATAATTACGTGCTATGCATTAGAGAGTTGGACAGTGAATAGGATTGAAAGAAAGAGAATTGATGCCTTTGAGCTGTGGTGCCGGAGAAGAGTGTTGAATATACCATGGACTGCTAGGAGAACAAACAGGTTTGTCCTGGAGAAGATGAAGTCAGAATGCTCCTTGGAGTCAAGGATTCTGAAGCTTCGTCTGACATACTTAGGGCATGTTGCAAGGAGGGACTGGTCCTTGGAGAGGGATGTCATGTTTGAGAGAAGGGAGGGACAGCGCAGGAGAGGAAGACCCTCAGTGAAATGGATCGATTCTGTGAGTGGAGTGGTGGGAATGAGTGCGTTTGAGATGGTGAGGTTGGCGCAGGATAGAACGGCGTTTAGAGCTCTTGTACAGAGGGCTGCGGTGAGTCACAAGTGACTCGATGGCACGTAACAACAACAAAGGGTTTTTAATTGAGCTTTCATAAGAAAATGAACTAAGTGGAATAGTATTAGCATTCAATTAAACCTAGACATTTTCAGAAATGTAGAGCTGTTTCATTTCATGGACATAAAGTATTGGGGTTCCCTAAGTTTGTAGGTCAAGGCTTTGTAGGGTGGTTACTGTGAAGGGCTGTTACTGTAGAGGCTTTAAGACAGTCATGCATTCTAGCACGAGTTTGTCCTGACGTTCGAATGTACCCCCTCAGTTACTTCACAGGGTTCCCTGTGGAAGGCCCTGTGCCTCTGGAAGATAGCTCCTAGTTACATTGTTGATGATTGCTGTCAAATCGAGCACGACTCACAGAGACCCTATGAACAAAAGACCTGAAGCCTTTGTTTAACTGTCATCGTTTCTCAAAGTTCATTGAGGTTCCAGAGGCACGTTGTTTAATATACCTGCTGGCATTAATTCATGACAGGATGTTTGCAATTGCGACGTTCTCAAGTGGCATTTAGTTTAGGTCATTTTTTTAACAAAACCCAAAATGGTGTGCATATTTTGACCCCCTGACACACTCACTTTCACTTGAGGACAAGAAAGGAATGCATGTAGAAATAAAGGCTGTGTTGTACACGCTCTTTCTCGTCTGAGATAACTGCTCCATGTGAGTGTTGACTTTCCATTTCTTCAAGTTGGCTGAGTGAACTGGAGGACTGAGTGCAAGAATCCGAGTAAAGAGCCGGAGAGCTGGGAGGGGGAGTGTCTAAGTTACAGACCGGTGTAGAAGTATCAGTGTAAGCAGTCGTTAGCTGTATATTTTGAAGCTGCCTGTGCATATCGTATATTTCTCTAAAACAGAAAAACTTCCTGCTCCATTCTCAGCAAACGACAAAGTTCAGTAAGTTAGTGTTGGTTTTAACTGTGGTATAATACTTAGTGTTTTTGACCAAGTTTCTATCTCTTAACGTGTGATGAGTACATTTTAAAATGAAAACTTTGAAAATCTTTTCATTTTAGTATTATCCTCATTGTTTAGAAGTTGACACTTTGATTAGTTTGTCTGAGAAGTGCCCACCATGCTTGGTTCTCTGTTTTAGAATCCAGCAGGCTAAAGTGCAGATTCTTCCCGAGTGTGTGTTACCGTCCACCATGTCTGCGGTTCAGCTCGAATCCCTCAGTAAGTGCCAGCTCGTTCCGTCAAAGCCTGTCTCCCAGGAAGACCAGCACTCGTGCCAGTGGCGGCAGAAATACCAGAAGGTAAGAAACAAACCGATGAGTCTTTTCAAGACATAAGACAGGAGCTTCCCCAACTGTCCAGGACGCAGAGAGGACTCAGGTGTGAGCATGTGCGGCTGCCTCTTGGCGGCTCGGGGGACACGCGCCCGGCAGCCCAGGTGCCACCTCCTGCTCGTGCACTTGGCCGGAGGGGAGCACACAGCAACAGGAACGTGAGACAGAAGCGATTTGTTACCTGAGGGTTGTGGTTTTTTAAAAGGACTTTTCACTGACAGGTCGGAAACTGACACAGGAGATAGATTCAGAGGGCAGGCAACCTTGACTGTGACCTTTGCTCTCAACAGATAAAAAGTGGGGGCCTTTTAGTCTTAATAAATATTCCCTTTACATGATATTTTGAATAATGTTTGGAATTTTTAAAGGGAGTATCATTTAAATACCTCCATGTAAATAACACAGCTTCAAGCCCCCAGGACACAGACACACCCTTCTCCCCCTACCCCCCCTTAATCTCAGCTGTTCTGCTGAAGAATTCGGCTTCATAGTGATTGGCTGCTTTGGGAGATTTCCTTTCCTCAGAACTTTTTAATAGCCAAATCAAACCACATCAGTCGACTCTTGTTTTCTGCAGCGTTTACGCGCATCTGCAAGGATTCTGAAGCTTCATCTGACAAACGTCATATGTGTTGCAAGGAGGGACCAGTCCTTGGAGAGAGAGAGATCATACAGCACAGGAGGGGAAGAGCCTCTGAAGTGGACTGATTCAGTGACGGGGGTAATGAGGTTAGGTGTGTCACACACAGGCTGGCACAGGATAGGACAGGGTTTAAGGCTATTGTACATCGGGTCGCTATCAGTTGCAGGCAACTCAACAGCACAGAACATATATTAGTAAGTTTGAGTTAATGTTACTTATATGGGAAGAATTTGGGGGGACAGTTTCTCAGTTATGAGGAACGAAAAAATGTTGCCTGTTTTTATACCATTAAAGTGATCGCTTATGTGTGAGAGTATGTAATAGTGACTGAATTAGGAGTGTGTTCATTAGCCAACCTACAGCTTGCAGTCGTTATCATTTTGTAGTTTTTAGACACTTCTACAGAGTGCTCTTCCACTAAAACGTAAGCTCCATGAGGCTTTTGTTGTTAATACTTTATCCATTGGTAAATCACGTATTATTGAAAATACCGCCTGGTATTTAATCATTCAGTCTCAGCCGTAAGTCAGCACCAGCTCATAGCTAACCCTCCAGTGGATTTGCAGGCAGGCAGGAATGTGAGAAGAATTTGCCTTTCTGTCATGGAGCACGTTGGGGATTCAAACTGCGAACCTGTGGTTTACAGTGCAGCACCTTACACTGAGCCACCATAGCACCTTTTCTAGTTTTTATGTGCCAACAAGTCGCCTGTGACTCAGCAGTCTATGAACAGTAGCTCTGAACGTCGCCCTACCTTGAGCCTCCCTCACCATCTGACACCTCTGCTCTCCTTGCCAGTCACTGTCGGTCCCCTTCATCCGGGGTCTTCCTCTCATGTGCTGACCCTCCACCCTTCCAAGCATGACGTCCTCCTCCAGCCGAGGCTTCTGGACCTTGTGCTGCTAAGGTGGTGTGTGGACTCCTCGCCACCTGTGCCCTTCTCTCGTGTGCGTGTCCTGGTGGTTTGCTCTTCAGGGCATCTGACTGTTCTGGAGAAGTGTCTGCATGTTGCTCCTTTTCATGGCTTAGTACTCCCGTTCACTTGTCAGTTGGGAACAGCACTTGTCTGTCAGATGCTGGACGACAGGGGAGCTCTCACATTCAGACTAGGAAGGATTGGTCATACGCTCCAGAAATCACAGGCCTTGGAAAACCCTATGAGCAGTACAGCACACTCTTCTAGGAGACTGATAGATGTAAAATAAGATTTCTCGTGTATTTAGAGCAAGAGCGGGCAGGGTGTACTTAGTTGCTGCCTCAGGTCCTTTTTCTTTGTGCCAGACACCCACATTTGTCCACGTCACACCTGTCTGGTCTCTCAGGTGCAAAGGGAGGATCCTCTATTTCTAAATGTTTTTCTTGTTTCGGTGTGTGAAGATTCTTCACCTGCGATCTTTATGAGTGCAAGTCGTTTCTCCTACAGCCTAGCTGGTGGGTTCGAACTGCTGACTTTTCCCTTAATGCTGGTGCTTGAACCACTGCACCCGGGCACTCTTTCTACCAGATCATCAGTTACCAACATTTGTACATAAGTAGGGAGTTAGGTTTGGGTTTTTTGGAAGCATGATCACATTTGTTCTGTAGATGTACCCTGCCTTTTCTTTGGCTACACAGCATACTCGTTAAAGACAGAACGTAATAACTTGTAGCTGATAAGGTTGTTGCTATTAACAGCTGTCCCCCGAAACCTCCACTCCTGTTTTCGTGTCCTTTAAAGCTTCCACTTTCTGATTTCTTTCAGTGGTTTGTGGACATTTGTTCCCAGAGGAGCTTCAGGTTCTGCTTCTGAATTCTAGTCAGATTGTCACTGGTTTGGATACTTTGAGGACTGACATCTTAATAATCATTATTCTCTCATCAAATACTGAAATTCTGCAGTAATGCACATTTAAGCATTCTTGCTTGGTTCACCAAGTAACTGGATGAGATACAGAATGGCTGTTTCACTGAGTGAAGAGAAAGGGTGTTTATAAGCATTTAAGTCTATTTGTTAAGCTTGTTGGAATCTTCTCTTTTGTTTCTATAATGATTTTAGGATCCATTTAAAGTTCTTACATAAACCAGTTTATTAAGTATTTTAGGATTTTTGCTGCAGATACTGGACGAGTGATGAGTGTGTAAATCCACATATTGTGGTCATCAAAGGGTGATGATCAGTAACTTGGTTCATCTTGTTTTACTAAATAGTCCTTCCAAAACCCCTCAAAACTCAGTGCTGTCAAGGAAGTTCTGACCCATGGTGCCTCCATCAGTTTTCTGACGCCAAAAATCTTAATGGGTAGAAACCGCCATCTCTCTCCGGTGGACCTGCTGGTGGATTTGAGCAGATGGAGAGAGCCGTCTTCTAATGATTAACATCCCAGCACACTGTGGACTAAGCCAGCAGAGCCTCTGAAACTGTCCCCAGCATTGCAGTTTTCTGTTACCATGTATGAATGCTTTCATTAGACCAGTACGCACAGGTAATTGCAAGGTTATAAAAAGCATGATTGTCCATCAGGGTATCGAAAAGATATTAAAATCTTTTCCTGAAGTGCATATATGGTTTAAAATGGTGCTTTTCTCTTTTGTAAGTTGTTAGGTACCATCAGGTCAGAACTGACTCACAGCACCCTCCAGCAGGTGTCCGTCCAGAGCTTGTCAACAGCACAGGAGACTGGCCGTCAGAGCAGCTGCTGGATTCAAACCACTTAACACCATACCCACCTGGCCATCGGAGCTCCCTTGTCTCTTACCTTTAACTTGGGTTCTTATTAAGTGTCCTCTGTTTTGTTTTGTTTTCAGAGGAAGTTTCATTGTGCAAATCTGACATCATGGCCTCACTGGTTGTACTCCTTGTACGATGCTGTAAGTAACGTGCCCTGTTGTGGGTAAGGATCATGGGAACAAATCACAAGCTCTGTGCTCGGTGGTACTCTATTTTCCGAACTGGCAGCATTAGCTTTATCTTCTTGAACACGTCCTAACTCATGTCCCTGGTCACTCTGCCGAGTGTGTGCCGTGGGGTTTAACACTGGCACCACCGCGTCTTACACCCTGTGAAGAGACAGACTGCTGGAATAAATGGTCTGGGTCTTGACACACAGACTGGCTTCAGAGCCTCATTCTGCCCATCTCTCCGTAATTGGGGACAAATGACTAAGTATCCATAAAGCTTCCCTCTGCGGGCATGTAGTAGCAACCTAACGAATGGTAGTCCTCTCTCTCGGTGAATCAGTGGCCTGGCATCCTTGGAAACCCCAGTTGAGCCAATTCGCAGTGCACAGAGGTGGTGGTCGTATACACCATCGAGTTGGGGCTGACCCTCCAGCGGATTCCAGCGGCTGAAATCACGTGGGCACAGGCTGCCCATCCTCCTCCCGAGCAGCTGTGTGCCTTCAGGATGGCAGTGCAGGCTCTTGGCCACTACCAGGCTACCGCAGTGCACCAGTGGTGTGCCTGCGCTGATACACTAGTGCTTGCACGGCACAAGACGGCAAGCCCTCTTCTGTAGTAACTGAGCTCTGTGGCTTCATGGGCTGAGTCAGAAAAAACTTCGAAGTGAAAGCTTAGAGAAGACCGTCAGTGCGCGCATGTGCGTCTGGGTGGACTGTGAGTGCCTGGAGAGCAGACTGAGCTGGAGAGGACGAGGGCTTGGTCCTGTCTAAGCAATTGCACACATTTCAACTGGGGCTCAGATGGGGCTGTTTGACCTTGGTGACTACAGTGGCTAATAAGTGGATTTGTTTTACTGGTGCTGAAAGGTGAATTTAAGTCTGTTGTTCTGGCTACTTTTGTTTTTAACCAGGAGACTTTAATGCATAGGATCAAGAGACAGCTGCATGAGTGGGACGAGAACCTGAAGGACGACTCTCTGCCATCAAATCCCATAGGTACCGAAGTCTCCTTTCGCTCGCTTAAGTAAACTGATAAGCTATTTTATAAAATAAAAATAGTGCATTAGTTCTAGAAAGCTTATTAGCATCTGAAAAATATTTTTAATTCTAAGTTCTTCTATTCTGTGGGCATTCTAATTGTAGGCAAGGTTTCCATTAAACTGCAGTAAGAGGCTCTCATCCAAAAACACCTGAGTGCATAGGCCTTCTTCCCCGTTGACATATCACCTCACTGTTCACTTATATTGTAACCTGAGTGCAGCCAGAATTGCCCTCAGAGGTCCTCCGTTTCCTAGACTTTGGACATGACAAGAGGGCCAGTTCATGCTGGAAAAAGCGGAGTGTGAGAGACAGCCCTCGACGAGATGGATTGATGATAGTGACAGCGGGGGCCCAGGAACACCTGAGAGCGCTGGTGAGGCTGGTGCTGGCCCAGCTGCTGTTCGTAGGGTTGCTGTGAGGTGCAGTCGGTTCCCCAACACCTAACAGCATAGCTGCTCATCCAGTTTAGTTATTTTCTCATCTCTGGGCAATTGTGACTTTTTAAATATAGAATTTATGTCATGAAAAGACCGTAAACAAAAATGGTTTGGGAAGAGATTCTTAAGAGGTAATGTGTTTCATAGCTGGTTATTTAATGTGGTTCCCCCACCCTAATTATATAAAATGTACACTTTAAAAAACCTGTAGGTTAAAGGTTTATTTCAAATAGAAGTTATCCTACTGATGAGTTTAAAACTGAAAAACCCACAACATCTTTTAGATTTCTCTTACAGAGTAGCTGCCTGTCTTCCTATTGACGATGTATTAAGAATTCAGCTCCTTAAAATTGGTAGTGCTATCCAACGACTCCGCTGTGAACTGGACATTATGAATAAAGTAAGTTCAGTGAGGACGATACTCGGGCTCCAGGACGAGGTTGCGTTTTGGGGACCAGCAGTCCAGGCGGGAGCTGCAGAGTGTGCGTTCAGAAGAGTTTGCCTGCCATGGTTTAGATTTTAAAGGACTGCTGAACCCTGTCTGGGACCGTACACGTGAACTGAGTATGAATTCTGTTTGAGGAAAGCAATCTGATTATAACTTTTGATTTTTCTAGATGGTATGTATATATGTGGTTAGCTATCAGATATAATTTCATTGTATAAGTGCATTTGTGACAGAGCTAAGGAGGAAACTTTTTTACATTCACAGTATGTATTTAGGTAATAAAAAAATGAATCTTTCCTACTGATGATTTTCTCTTAAAATTTCAGTGCACATCCCTTTGCTGTAAACAATGTCAAGAAACAGAAATAACTACTAAAAATGAAATATTCAGGTGAGCCCATTATTGTCATTTTCTTAGACTGCTGAATACACTTCCCAGCTGCCTAATGAGAATTCTCGATTCCAGGCACCACTCAGCACAGGTACGTGCAAGCCGCCCTTTGAGTGACTCCCCATGTCGTTTCTGTCCTAGCTTGTCCTTATATGGGCCCATGGCAGCATATGTGAATCCCCACGGCTACGTACACGAGACGCTCACTGTGTATAAGGCTAGCAACCTGAGCCTGACAGGCCGGCCTTCCACGGAGCACAGCTGGTTTCCAGGGTAAGGAGGGACACTTCTGTTTGTGCTTTAAGTAGGTGCAAGAGAGCTGCTAAAAGTATAATGGACAGTGAAATGACTAATGCTGTTTCAATGGTTTTTATTCCATTAATGGCTGTAATTACCTGTCACACTTTTTGCATAGCCTTATTGTATATAGTAAGGGAGAAAAAAGGTTTGGCAACTTAAGTTTCCCTCAGCAAACTACTACATAGTTAAACTTACTTTGCTATCACTGTATGACAACAAAACCAACTCTTTTATGGCCCAGAAAATTCTTTCTTTCTAGTATCTATGCTGTAGTATCTAAAACTAGATAGTATTTGCCAAATTTTGTGTTTGAGCCTAGAAGTTCTCAGCAGCATCCCACATTACCCTCAGAAAGCAAGTGACCGGTCTCTGCTCCCCTTCTCGGCCAGCATTTTCTTTCGCGAGAAGTAGGCTAAATGGAGATTCATGACAACTTTGCTCTTCCTGGCTCTAGGACCTTGTCACGTCCCATTTCATTTGATAGTCTTAAAGAGTAAAAATAGCATTAGTAAAACTTAATAGTAGGTATTATACATGGGTAAAAAATTAATTTTCTTAAGCTACAGAAGAAATACTGTGGTATATATTTCAGGTGAAATTACAAAGGAGAATCATTCCAAAATGGCATTTTCTTTCTTGGGGCAGAGGAAGTTTAATGCTACATCAAAGATTTAACTCAAGATCATTCTTTTCCAAACCTGGTTGCGATGAAAATGTGTAAAAATAAGCTAGAATTGTAGTCTTGAAGCAATTGGTATAAAAATGTTTTTTACATTAGAGGGGAAAAAACCCTCCTCTATAAGCATAATTCATTCTGTATGAACACTGACACATCCCTCTGTAACGCAAGCCTCTAATCTGTCGTCCTCCTGTCTTGTAGGTACGCCTGGACCATTGCCCAGTGTAGGATCTGTGCAAGCCATATAGGATGGAAATTCACAGCCACCAAAAAGGACATGTCACCTCAAAAATTTTGGGGTTTGACCCGTTCTGCTTTGCTGCCCACAATCCCAGAGACTGAAGATGAACTGAGTGCAGACAAAGTCATACTTTGTTTGTGAACACATGGTGGGGGGTGTTGGTATTTTTTTTTTTTAAAGTCGGATCTGCTTGGAATATGTATTGCCTCTGATGCGTGTCTGAGGGAGCAGCACCATCACGTGGAGAGGTGCCAACACTGATCGATTAGTCACTGGGTCCTAGAATCATATTTATACCAACACTCCAGACAGCAGCTTCTAAAGGTGAGGGGCCGAGGACACATTCCTATGGGAAGAGGCAAGTTGATGTAAATGATTTTAAAAGGGGTTTGTTCCTTTGAAAGTTCCTTAGCTTCTTTCAGATGATTTACAAATCTTGAGGTAAAATAAGCAGTTCAAGCCCAAAAATAAAAGTTTTCATTTCTTAACGTGTTAGAATGATATTGTGTATATTTGCTCAGTGTCTGTCCCACAGAAGACACTTTCCATCTGAAATCACAAGGGGCAGAATTGCTGAAGCCCTAGAAGTGGCACTCTATTCTATAGACTTATTTTTGCTCATGTAAATGAAAAAATTTAAATAGCATTTTTAGTTCTGCCTTTATTAATGTAAAATACCCACTCAAATAGTTTTGATAAGGTTCTAGGAAGACAGATTTACCACCTACCTCCTTGCTTTATTTAAATATATGATCCTTTGTGTAATTAACTGTTTTTATTGCTACTCTTTGAAAATTCAGTGGGAGGCCAACACGTGACTAGGCCTGTCCCTCTCAGCTTACTTTCTGAATGTTCCCTGGGTGTTGACTGCTTTGACTAAAGATACATTGCGTATTTATGTACAATGGAAAGCAGCTCCTGAAGGCTGTGACGTGGGGCTGGCGGCTGCTGCCTTGTATGTCCCAGCTTGTTCTTCCCCTTTGCTCTCTACTACCACTGATGTTAAGACTGAATAACCAATGCCGTTAACCATTACCACGGAACTGAAAACATACTAGTTCTAAATGTTATGTGTGTTCTAAGAACTTAACCCAGTCGTCGCAGTGAGAAGACATTGTTTTGACAATTTTCCCTGAAGGGAAATCTACGAATGTTCTATACTACTTACTGACATTTGCAAATAAATTTTCTGATACGTAAAAACATGCACAGAACACTATTTGAAGGTTAGTGTTACACACATGGCAAAAATCAGACCTTTCTGTATTTTCACTAACTGCCTTTAAGTCTGCTCCAACTCTCAAGGCTACACATCTCTTACAGAGAAATGCACAAATCGCACTCTGACCTCATCGTGACGTACTTCCTAAGGACATTTTAAAATACTAGGTTCAAGAATAACCTTCAAGCTAATAACAAAATAGAAATGAATTTGAACTTCTCCATGCTAACAAAAAAGAGCGAAGCCAATTAGACTGCCCCAGAGAGCTCAGACTCCCCAAAATAGATCGAGAAAGATGTTCGTAAACTTTCGTGTCATATATTTTATGTTTCACAAGAAAGTCCTTTTCATTCTTTACCATATAAAAAATAACCTTCGAGCCCTCCCAGTTTCAGGGCTTCTCTATGTAACTCAGCAGTTCCTCCTTGTCCATTTGGTACCCGCTTTTCTTCCACCGTTCGCGCAGCTGCTGCAGGAGTGCTCCAATCTCTTTCCCTGAAGAAATGCCTGCCTTCCTGATGTCATGGCCACTTACCGGGAATGGGGGGACGGACCACTGCTGCATAGCCGCCAAGAGTTCGTGTTCCCCTTGGTACTTGAGTAGTTCACACACGCGACCAGCAGCGTCCGGTTCCCTAGACTGAATTCAAAACCACACACGTTAGAGAATCGGAGCCTCAATGAAAACAAAATACATAACACCAGGCCTGGTTTCTACTTACATCTATAATGAAGTCTTGATAGGGCTTCAGTGGTTCGGAATTATCAGCTGCTTTAATTAAATCTTTCCTGTTTTTAACTATAAATAAACCAAGGTTCTTCTCTTCTTTTGAAATCTTCAACCTCACATCCAATTTTGTGATATCTTCTTGTACTTTGAATAAGGAGGCCAATAGAGTCATTGGTTTTGGAGAAAAACCGTCAACATTTTTGCTGACTCTATTAAATTCTTCTAAACTTGCATTAGCAGGTAAACCTATTGGGACAAGAGCATTTTTTACAAATCTGTAGTCATATTTTAAAGTGTATTAATAAAACAATTCCCCTAATTTAACCATTAGTATTGGAATTTAGGCCTCTTATTGCTGTTGAAGCTGTAAACCAGGAAGTGGAGAGACCGTTGTGCTGGTGGCCCCACCCACACGAAATGCCAGGTTCAGTTACAAGCTCTGGTGTCCAGCAACCACCACTACCACACACTGTCCTATTCAGTGATGTTTCGTCTTTGCGTACACATTTGTTGACCATCTGCTTTTGTAAAGATGACACCTGTACTCAGAGCCTCTGCCCTGGGCTGTAAACCGCAGGTCACCCTTTGTTCTGAGAATCACGGATGGGCTCACAGTGGCCCTGCGTTGGCAGGTAAGTCATGAGATGATGCCACCGGAACTCTGTCGCCTAACAGCCTGGGCAGCTGTCCTAACACCTGGGCACAGGAGTGAAAGCCACAAGCCGTGCATTAGGTCAGGGGGGTTCAAAATAATAGCCAAATAAGCACTAAGGATAAACGCTTCTTGATTATAACAATAACGTTTACATGTAAATCACCCTTTAGTACTTTGTATTCTGTATGAACGTAATCGTCTCTTCTGTAAGGCCTCTTACTAGGTGGTGGTTCAACCCAGACTCGGACATTTCCAGACGAGAGCCAGCCAGCTCTGGTTTGGTACTTACTCCATATTCAAGACAGAACTACCCACATGGAGAATTCCTCCTCGGTTGTTTTCCCTTATAAAATGAGAAGCGAGATGTTTCCCTGCCCAGAACTGAAAAAGCACTTCTTGTTCTCACCTACATAGCGAGCCACATCGAGATCATACATAAGACGTATCAAATGATTTACGTGGTTCCCAACAAGAATCTTCTTCAATTCCACCCAAATCCTCTCTCCAGATATTCCAGCTAAGCCTTTGGCGTTTTCTGCAATTGCCTCCAAAGTTTCAGCATCATGGTCGCCAGCTTTTTCTACAATTCTCCCATAAAACCTGCAGGACAAAGAGCTGGCCATTACTCTGTGCTGGCATCCCAGAACAACCCCTTCTCATTTCTGCTCGTACCATCCACATCTTTTAATCAGAAATATTTACAGTTCTGGTTAGTCTGTGACAGATCCTAGGTCATCTGGTCACTTCACCTCTTTTTCTCAGATGAGAAAGTCACGATCCAATAAAAACTAAGTCATCTACGTAACAGATTAGTGCAAACCAGATGCCAAATTCTTGGCAGGTTTTAATTCTTACCACAAAATAGGCAGTTTCAGAAATTAGTAGCTTATGTTTTACATTTCTTAGAGGCCAAGAGGGGACAAGGTGGTTGATAATAACGACACAAAGTCAGGAAAATATCATTTGATGTATTAACAGTTGTCATGAGACTGTTCACCAAAAAATAACATTTCTTGACGAAATGTGTCTGAATGCCTAGCAAGTAAAATAGCAATACTGCTAGATAAATGGGAGAGGATAATTCTGATAAAGACATTTAGAGTTTAAACATCACTAGACCTAATTCATTTCATATTACCAACCTCATCTATGACTTTATCTTCTGCTTTGTCGGGATGCTATCTCTGTGTGCACATGTATTATTGTCACATGTTCCACGGCTGTAACCTAAAGGGGTAGAGACCACTCCGTCCCCGATTCAGTGCCTAGCACCTACCCACGGTGGCCTGGGGTAAATACACTGTGTAGTATATAGCTTCCCCTGCCCCCATTTTTGACTAAATGCTACAAATTAATAGAAAATGTCCTCATTGAAAAATGAGTATGATGATGTTAAAATATGTGCATATTTTGAAACTCAAAATCCAAGTAATACAAGCATGGAGTATGGCAGGTAAGAGGCAACTGCCCTCCCCGGAGACACACGGCTGCTGTCATGAGTCCTGACTTGGGCTTCACGATGTTCAGTGAGGAACGTTACAGAACTTCTAAAAACTCTTACCTGAAATACCGTAAAATCCTAAGATAGTCTTCTTGTATTCTCTGGTTAGCTTGTCCAACAAATCGGACTTTCTTATTTTTCAAATCTTCATAACCATTAAAGTAGTCAAATAAGGTACCATCAAAACCTAGAAAACAGGGAAGAAGTATCACTATTAGCAGTAATGGTTGGAAAAACCCAAATAAATCAATGGAAACCTATCACAAACAACGTTGACAAAGCAGAATTTTCAAATACTGTGCACCACCCAGTCAGAACTGGCCCCAAGCTGACCCTCCGGTGGGTTTTCAGAGGCGGTTCTCACACGGGAGGAGCGTGCCCGTCGCCCACGGGGCAGCGGGTGGACCTGCGGCAAGGCTGCTGACCAAGGTGACCACTTGTAAAATAAAAGAATTAAGTGTACCTACTACCCAGTGAAAGGAACCATGAAATAAAAATAGACAAGACTTGTACAAAGAAAACATTAAAAATACTGGTGAATCCTATTTCTGATAATGGTTTAATACCCCGAATATATATTAAAACTACAACATCCAAACTCTATAATCTGAAAAATGACCAAAGGGTATAAAACATACCTCTAAAGAGGATGTACAAACGGCCAGTGTGCACATGAAAAGCTGCCCAGCAGCATTAGATTCAAGAGAGATGCACATCCCAGCAACAATGGCAGCCCGCTTCACACAAGGTCCTGGGAGTCCAGCCTCTGAAAACTCCCTGGGAGAGTCAGCTAGGGGTCGAGTCTACTTAGATGGTACATCACAAAAATTTGAAAAGCCAAAAGAAAAGTGTTGGTAACAATGTAGACACATAAGAACACTCCTTTTTTGCCAATGGGAATGTAGCATTACGCAGCCCCTGTGGAAAGCAATTCGGTGGTTTCCAAAATAATCATCAAACCCAGCTAATGATCCGCACGGGGCATTCAACCAAAAACGTGATAGCCACGCATGGCTGGTGTTCACCGCAGCACTACTGACGAGGCAGAGGGGCCCAGGCAAGTGTTCATCCACAGAGGACGTCAGGCCCAAACAGTGCAACACGACTGAGCCAAAGGGAGGAATGGAGGCCTGATCTAAACAACTGAGGAAAACCTGCTGAATGAACTAAGACACCAAAGGACAAACAGGTGCGCACACGTTGGGAGCTCTGGTGGCTTCCTGTTCTGTGTCGTCAGGTCAGAACTGACCCCCCCAGCGGGTTTTCAGAGGTTACTCATTGCATCGGAGGAAACTACTCACGTTCCTCTCATGGAGCAAATGGTAGACTCGAACCACGTCTCTGTGATTGTCACGCAGCTTCTCACCACACTTACGATGGCTTACTACTGGTAAGGAACTAACTGCACTGACAACACAAAGGTACAGGGTTCGAATCCACCTCTGCTCTATGGGAGAAAGACTGGCAATCTCCTGTGTGATTCAAAGCCTCTGAAATTTTCTGGAGCATCAGCTCAGCATCAATTCTGACTGGATGTTGCTTTTGTTAAGTGCTGTCGAGTCACACATGACTCATGGCAACCCTATGAATGAGAGACCTGAACATTTGTGTAACTTTCATCCTTTCTCCAAGTTCACAGGGTTTCCGGAGGCAGGCTGTTACGGAAGTGGATGCTACTCCTGCTTCCAAGCTTGTTTTAACTGGGGAGCTCCACCAAACTCTGTCCACCATGGGTAAACAGTGTCACAGTGTTCAGCATCACAGCAACCACGAGTTACTGCTGCACAGTAAATGGACCAGTGTTAGGCCACTTAGAAGAATGTTTGACCAAAACCAATTAAAACCAGCCCCAAACTGGTGACTGAATGCCTTCTTAGATAGGAGGCCAAATCCACTCAGCTCACACCCAATGGCACATAAACAACCCAGATCCAAGCCTCACCAGAACCACAAAACAAACCTCTGTAGAATCCGCTGCTTCACTCTGACTGGACAGTACACAGCAGTAATACACTTTCAAAAGTTAAAAAGGCAAGTTTGAGATTATAAATGTGTTTTACTGTTACAGAGGTAGAAAGCCACTGACAGACTAAAACCCCCACTGCAAACACTTCCACCTGCACCAGACAGAAGGATGCGCACACAGTGGTCTGGAGCGGGAGGCAGCGGTCTTCAACAGGACGAAGGGGCCCTTGTGCCACTTTATAAATGTAACGTCGTCCCTGTGTGTCTTCACTTCAACACCCAAAGATCTGCTGGAGTGGACACAGTAAGACACCAGACAAAGGTTTCATGTGAATGTGGGCGAGTAAGCAACAGGAAGCAGGACACTTCGGAGGAGGGGAGGGAGGACTAGAAAACACAGACGCGTTTAGGAAGCGGAATCACGACACCCCTTCACAAAAACATTAACACATCAACTGTGCCTGAATGGCAAAAACAAGCATAAAGCAAAATTAAGATTGATGGCACACTAGTGGAAAAAACCCAAGGCAGTATCAAAATCAAATGCTGGACATCCCCAAAACACAAGCAGCTCTTACAAACAGCACGAAAAAAGGCTGAAAACATCAAGAGGAAATACAAAGTCTCTTTAAAAATCAAAATATTAAGTCTTAAGTCACAAGAAATAGATCAGAGACGGCCTTTTTCTTATTTCTATCAAAATGCCGAAGAACTGAACATTTGCTAACACTGACAGAATGGTGTTAGAAACTGCGGTAAGAAGGTTCAAAATAGGTACAAAAAATACACTAGGGCCTTTGACAGTCAAGGTGCTAAGCAGCCTTTGTCACAAGAAACACAAATTTCAGGTGGCATTTTTCTTATTTCTGACAAAATTGCGAAGGTCCAAGCACTTGCTCACAGCAGGAGCTCCTGGTCACAGGATGGAAAGACTTCATTAGGCTTCTAAACTTAGTGAATACGGAACCATTTTAACCTATTATGTGTTCAAAATCATGCTGTACATTTTTTTTAAACCTCACAATATGTTTAACATATGATAAATAGCTGAAAAATTTCACGTAACCTTGTAAAACTTCAACCCAGACTCAGATCCTGGCCTGTAAGTGGGCATGGAATTGTCGCCGACCGCGTCATGTCCCCGAGGTGGTCACCCACACAGCAGAGGTAGCCTGTCCTCCCCCAGGGAAGTCTAGGTGCCTGCAGATTGGCATGTGCAGGGTTAGCATCTGTGCCCCATACGCTGACACAACGTGCCTTTCATACAGCACAGAACACGTCAGTGACACGCAGGAGGGACCCAGCCCAGGCTGCCAGGACAGTTGCTTTTTCCTTGATTTTTACATCCCAGGAAAATGGCTGGCTTCAGCACAGCTGGTCACCCTCTGAACACCTAGGAAAGAAAGAAACCCCTAAAGCAAACACACAGGCCCCATCAACATCCAAACTGGACGGCTGATGTTTCTGTGGGACACGTCATTCTTCAGGGTCCCAAGAAAGAGGCTCTGACGTTACTTAGGAAAAAGAAAAGCTGTGGCTGAATGCAGCCACGGCCGTCCACCTAGGCGGGGACAGGGCTCCACAGGGTGCCTAAGGGTTGCCCGCCTGGGCAGGGACAGGGCTCCACAGGGTGTCCAGGAGCCACTGCCCGGGCCAGGACAGGGCTCCACAGGGTGCCTAAGGGTTGCCCGCCTGGGCGGGGACAGGGCTCCACCGGGTGTCCAGGGGCCACTGACCTGCAGAGCAGGCACCAGGTCTTCTGCCTGGAGCAAGTCACTATGGCTGTAAGAGCGTACCATGGCTGCTGCAAAGAATTTACGTAAACACACAGTATACATGCCTGGCATATTCACCAGCTGCTCTGTGGGAGGACGGGTCATCTCCTGTGTGATTTACTGCCTCTGAAAACCTGCTGGAGAGCCAGCCATGGGTTAGTTCCAAGGGTTAAGTACATTTAGAAAACAAGGGTACCAATAAGAATAACTTTTCTTTTCATAAAATAGTAATGCCCTGAAAAGGAATGCTTGTAACTAAATAGGCTTACGAGAATGCAGTACCCGATTCGACACACTGCACTGGTTGAAGCAATCTGAGCTAAGTGGGAAAGGGCTGACCAGCTCCGTCCATGCAATTTACAGGCTCAAAACCCTGCTGCAGAGTCCGCTGTGAGCCACGGCCAGGGTTCTGGCTCCACGGCCCTGAGTGGGGTGACGTAGGAGAAATGACACCAGGGCTGTGACCACGTCACCAACAGAAAGCCAGGCACCAACCGGGCTTCTCCTCAATGGGTTCCTTCCAGAACGTCAGTCTCACCTAGAAACATGGAGTTGACGGTGAGGTCCCTGCGCTCCGCGTCCTGCTGCCAGTCCCTAGTGAACTCCACCTCCGCGTGCCGCCCGTCGGTCAGGACATCGACCCGCAGCGTGGTGATTTCAAAGTTCTCTTCATGAAGCTGCAAAACATACACTTCTGTTGGTTTCTAAGACTTGAGTCACTGGTGGATTGAAGAGTCTGTGTCAGGTACTGTTCTGTAGCACTGGGGTCCTTATTTCTTTTTAAAGTCAACCAGCATATTACAACTTAAAACAGAAACATTCCCTGCAGCCAAAGGTAGTGTCAAAGAATAACATCGGAGTATTAGTAATCATACCATTCCTAATAAAAAAGAGGAGGTGACTTAGGATAGATTTACCGAAAAATGGCAACTCGGGCATGTTGGAGGAGGAACCTTAGTGGTTCCTCAATTTAAAATCAGGCTGCTCGTGGTAGTCAAGACAGCATGGTACTGGTACAATGACAAACACATAGATCAATGGAATAGAATTGAGAACCCGG